TTTGTGTATTCTGCAGCAGGGTTGATCAGCTTTTATATGTAAATTAAGGGTATAGAGGGAGAACTGTTCTGCAGTCCTATGAGAAATAGTGGTGAATGAACTCAAATGATTGAGAGTTGGTGCTAGGACATCTTTGTGTTGCCCGCTTTGAAAGATGTGTATGCATGAAGGGCAGAATAACCTAGGTAAAGCTGGACCGTGGTTGTACAGAACAACTGTAAGACTAGAGAGGGAAAGAATTTATACTGATCTTTGGAAAAACACATGTAAAACAAGTCTCTCTAGAGAGCAGTACCATTTCATATTAGCAGCTGGCAGGGAGTGAGGTAGTGTGAGTAGCATGAGTAAAGTGCCCCCCCCCATATGTTGGAAAGGAAAGAAAGGAAAAGAAAGCAGACTACAATATTTGGCTGTAGCCAGGAGCTGTCAGAGGAGAGATCAAGGCCTGGTTAATCTAGCCAAAGGAAGCACAGAGAAAAAGTGTTTTATTTCTCCACTGGGATTCACAACCTAGAACCCTGACATAAACGTAAGAGCAAAAGAAAAAAGAAAACATCTTTCTTGCTGAAAAATTGTTTGTTTTGTCATATCAAATGATGTTTATAGTTGATTTGGTTTACGACAAATAAATTTAGCTGGGGGAGAATCGTTGCTTAGAGAAAAAAAAAAAACCATAAGAAACATGGATTTAACTCAGAATACAAAATGAAAAATTATCCAAAAAGCCTGATTTGAAATCAAAGTCTATTACAAATTCAGTGGGTTATCACAGTCCCTGAACAGAAGAGACTATGACTGAACAAGAAAATCAGATTCTAATTAGAGACAAACGATTAAACTACAACAATTCAAATGAAGCTTGAGAGCCGCAAACATTTTGCTTTCAAGAAAACTGGAGTATAGCTGTACCAGAGCAACTAGTGACCTGAAGATGTTTAAAGATACTGTACATTATACATGGATTAACTATAATCAGTGTCCTGGGCACTGGAACTGCCTCATAAATGTGTTCTATTAGTTCAGCTGCAGCATTGTGTAGGTCAAGAATAAATGCTTACCAGAAAAATTGGTTTACTCTCGTAACACCATCACTGCTGGTAATTCAAGGAACATATCTGAGAGTGCAAGGATATCAATGTTACTTTACTATCTATATTATGTGTTTGATAATTTGATTGTAGATTTTTCTAAACTGAGTGCTACCCAGATATTACTGTTGTTAATTTTGGAAGTTTATTGTTGGGTTTTTGTGGGTTTTTTAATGTTCTAGCTAGTGCTAGGTGGAGCGGGAGAATACTAGTGAAATTTTTCTTAAGCAAGTGGTAGGCCTTAATTCACTAAATAAAAGAATTTACGGTTCTACTGGATGAATTAGAAAGATGGGCTTTAAAAATTATTGTCTTTAAGAAAACAGTTGCTCTCTTCCTCCTACGTCCTCCTCACCATTGCCTCAATCTGTTCAAAATACCTTTGCACTTGATTCAAGTTTATCTGTGAATTAATCCACAGGATTTATACATTATTTCTTTAAAGATGTGTTCTAAATGTGGCAGAAAACTGTTTAGAAATTAAGATTTTGTAATTAAGGCACCATAATTTATGTTGCTCTAGAGAAAAGGATCCTGTCCATGCTTGTGACTCATTTTAACAAAGGATTCTTAGATGGTCACTTAAACAAGACTTTCAGGTCAGTACTTTTGTGCCAGGCACAGATAATGCAACCAGGCATCCAGAAAATATGATCCTGGGGGCCTGACGTGCAAAACTGAAGAGCACTTAGAGATAAACTTTAGTTAAATGTACTCTGAGCATATATATGTGAGGTTTATACCCTGCTGAATTAGACTTATTCTTAATTTATTTATCTCAAGCTAAGCATCTGCTGAAATATGCCTTAATCAATGTGATTTAAGGTGTGCTTGAGGGTTTCCCTGAAGATTATTTTTAATTCTTAATTTCTATTTTAATCCCTTTCCATTTATGATTTGGTGGCAGAGCACCTCTGCCTGAAGAATGAAAAGGACTAGCAATCAAATAGCAGTTCCTTCGTTGGCTTAGTTTATATTCATATATATACAATTTTAAGTGCATATAATGGAATTGATATACTTACAATATATGAACCAGCTAGTAGTTGCTCTTGAAGGCATAATGAATTATACAGGAGCTTAAAAGGCCTGAAAGTCCATTGCAGTTGTATTAACATGCAAGTTTCCAAGCACGTCTGGTCTAGTGCAGGAAGAAAACAAACAAACGCCAAAAAGAAGAAAACCCAGGCCACTTATCTCTAGAGAACAGATTATGCTAAGACACTGTTTTTCTATATAAAACTGCTTCTTCAAGGGGAAACAAAATGAATGCTAGCCTTGCAACAACTGCACCAGGCCACACACAGAAGCAAAAGAAATGGGGCCCGTGGAGCCACCTTGGACTTTTCTGCTTGTGTTCCAAGGAGAATAAACAGTGGCGAAAAGGGAGTGGAGTTACTTAGTTTTAAGATAAGTGAATCCTCTTTCTCAAAGTATTTTCAAACCTGAGATTTTTTTTTCACTAGCTCAGAAAAAGAGAAACACTAGAGAGAGCAATGACAACTTGCTGAAATTGAACTGAAGAAGATAAGAGAGAGCTAGTTTTCAGAGTGAAGATGAGAGAGAAATAAACCAGAAGCCTAAATGCAATCCTGGGAATGACAATAATTCAAGAGAAATGCTGCAGGGGCAGGAAAGAGAAATTTGAAAGAAGGCAGTTCTACATTCGGATTTAGAAAGACTAAATCTCAGATGCCAGCAGGATTCGAGACACGATACCTCAGATTCACAAAGACTAGAGTTCAAGGAAAGGTTTGGGACTCTACACAGGATTTTCCAGTTGAAATTCTACAAATCTGCAAGGCCCAAAATAGAGAGGAGGGGGATATGAAGAATCAAAAGCAATTTGCGATGCTGAAACCATACTAAACCAATCAACTATAGTGGCGGCATGGGGGGAAACACACAAATGCATTTTTTTTTATTCTAGTGATGAAACAAGCAAAAAGCCTTTGAGATTAATGTGGTAGCTCTTCAAAATCAGACTACTTTAAGCTCTTTTCATTTATAGTTCTTGGTTTTTTCTTATGGAAAACCTCATAGATGACAATTTTTTTTTTTTTTTTCCAGAAGGTTATAATCAAGGACAGAATAGACATATGCTAGATAACATAAGCAGTCAAATTAAAGCCTATCAAAGTTATATATAACTTCACACAGCATTAATTCTCAGCATAAAACATCTGTCATGTGCTGTGAGCTAAATTATGAATATTCAATTCCATCTTGCTTTAACTTTATATTTACTATGCCATATGCAAAGATAATTAGAATAATAGCATTGCATTAATATACATGAGTTGTCTTCATTTGCATGGATCATAAATGCTTTATAAAGCTTAACAATGAGAACACGTAGGACAAATTCTGTTTCAATTATTCAAGTCAATTTTACATCGGTTGGACTTGCTTGAGTTTCAAGGTATGACAGAGAATATACCTTGTCATGATACACACGGGAATCACTTTGTTCACAAATGAAGTGCAACCATCCCTAGAGTGAACAGCTGCTGTTTTTAATAGCATGTTGCAGCATTACACAAGATGAGACTCAAACTGTAGACTAAATATTGAATGACCAGGGTGTTTCTAATACACAAAGCTTATCCATCACATAATACTTCTCCCAATTTAATGTCTTCTTGATAACTGGTTGGCATAAAAATGATACACAGCGGTCTTTAAAACACTAGAGTTCTCCTGGTGTAAGCAGAGCTGAAGTATTGTGACACCCACTCACAGATTGCATTTTAGGTAACCTGTGTGACTTGAATTTCAGAATTTTCAAAATCACAATTCTGGAGAGAATAAAAGCTATCTGTAAATAAAGTTTCAGGAAGAAATAGCAAATAAGAGAAACACTAGTGAAAAAAAAAAAAAGTTCATTATGTGCAACTTGCTCCTGTTTTAAAAGATGAGATATGATGTACCATTCAATTTGACTCCAAAATAAGGAAAAACACAAATATAAAAATTTGTGAAATATTAAAGAAACAGTGTTGGCTTGTGTTTACTTGCCCATTGGTGTTACAGATACTGAAGATAATGCAGAGCCTGTCACAGTCTACATTCATCTCCATACCAGCCTCTTCCATGAGGTAACTTCTTCAGACAGTGAAATCTTCTCAGCTCTGGTGGGCAAGCTTTGCTCTGACTGTGATTAATACAAAGGAAGACCATCATTATCTTTTGGGATTTAAGTTTGTGTGTTCACAGCTGAAAAGCATGTAACACAAATTAACCCCCTCACACATACACATACAGCTTCTAAATTTTCCTACATCCAAATCGCATTTCACTATTACTTTCCCTGTCCCTATATGGCTGCCTTTCTCCATTCTTGGACTCAACATTAAATTTTAAGAAAATTATATGGACTTATTTTTAAAAACTGGTGCAAATTGCATTTCTCCACATCTTAAAATTCTTCCTGTTCTTTTATGACTCTCAGCTGTTTAACCATTCTTGACTATTTTGAAAAAGACTTGATTATGGGCCCTAAGGGAAGCACATAGCCTTTCTGCAATCTTCTATATAAATGGTGTAATGTAGTTTTGATGATAAGATTATTTAATATTTAATGCCTAATGAAAGGTAAAGCTGCAACAAGATAGTTGATTTCCAGGGGGATGTCACAACTTAACAGTAAGTGCTCAGCACCAGATTGGGGGGTTTTGTTTGGTTAGTTTTTGTTTGGTTTTGGTTTTTTTGCAAGGAAAGGTTTCAAATACAATACGGAAGAATATTGGCACAAAAACATTCAGAAAAAAGGGTTTTAAAGGTGACACCAAAATTTCTCACATGATATTCACATGATAATGGGAGAAAAGTGGACAAAATGGTTCCTGCATTTACAGAGGAGCCCCCGCAGCAAGAACTCTTCTGTAATAGCTTTGGGCCTGCTCCAGCAGCGTGTTCTGTATCTTTCACTTGATAAATTTTTGGAAGTGGTTCCACACCTTGTACAGATGGCTACAGATGTCTTGCTACAGCTTGCAACAGTTGAGCACCTGAGAATTTGAATACTGGTTAACCATCAGATTTGAGTGTGTGGTAGGAAACTGAGATATTGAACAGCTGTGCACACAGAGAACCTGCAGCTAGTATGTGCTATTTGCAAGGATGTATGGCATGTGCGAGCCAGACAATCCTGTTACCTCCTATATAGAAATAATATAAAGAAGGTTGAGATTTACAAAGCTTCAAGTTCTGTAAGCCACTAGAAATTAATGTACCACTGCTGACTGGGGAGCCGGGGTGGGGTGTGTTCGAGGTGTCTGCAAGTACACAAAGAATCTTCCAGCATCCTCTAACATGAATATTGACTTTTTGCTTAAAAATCAAATTGAGGCCAAGCAATATGACCGAAACCAAGATCAAAAAAGTGGCTCCAAAGCATATACTAGTTAAACAAGAGCACCGAATATGGCAATTCTTGACATCGAGTTATTTCTGAAATGTTTTGAATTCTAAAAGGGTTGAACAAATCCTTGATCCTAGAACATGTAAGTGTCCAAGTGTGGAAGTTTCAGCTCACCTCGGCAGAGTTTTCTTTGCCAAAACAAGTGCAATCCACACCATCCTTCAGATACTCAAGATGGGTGAGCAGTGAGGAAATAGCTGGGAGCGCAGCGCAGTTGGTCCAGCATGACGGTGCATTAAGTATCTGTACAGACAGTATGGGGGACAAGTCAACACAAATCTAACCTTACAGATATGTGTCTATCCTCATGCCTGGTTATATGATTGTATTTCTGTTAGCTAATATCACTCTTAAGAGAGGGAACATGCAAAGATCTTTTGAGGAGTTAACAAAAGGGAACTTATGGAGTATACAAAGAAAGGCATTACCTATGACACAGTATCCAGGGTGACCTAAGGGAGACTGATGGATTATTTCAACTTCTGTTTCCCTCTAGCCTGCTAAATTTGTTTCTGGATAAGCCCAGAATAGCTGAACACAGGCAAAATGGGAATATTTTCCTTCAGTTAGAGGAATCCTCTTGGGAAAAGGTGTCTGATTCCAAATACCTTTTTACACTAGATGGGTTAGCATGTAGTTAGACAGTACATTTGGGAGATACTAGTTGCCTAAACTACTGCATGGGCTGTGTTTAACATCTGAGCAAACACAGCATGTCTTATGGTAAAAGAAGAGTACTAAATTATGGATGAACATTTTCATTCTAATGAAAACATTGTAAGGTGTGGCAAGAAACAGCACTAATAGTAAACAATATAGAAAAAGTAATAAACCAGTAGAAATTACCTGAGAGAGATGTTAAAAACATGCAGATCGTACTGTGGTTGCAGTTGTCATCATCATAACCGTATGCCTCCTACAATGGTCCAGAAAAGCATAGAAACACTGGTGGGGAAAAAACCAAACAAGACCTTATCTTTAACAAATCATTTTAAAAAAGTAATTTGAGCGTGCCAATAATGAGACATAACCAAAAAGCAGAGGATGCAAACCTTAGAGGAAGCTGTGAGAAGCTGAACAAGTTGCTGAGCCCCCTCCTCCCCCCAGGCTCTGAGGTATTACACAGCAAACAGTAATAATTAAATTACTCACAGACACTTATAAGGAGAGGGCTGTCAAGTGTTCTTGCAACAGCACAGTCAAAATTAAAAACCTGCTTCTTTTCTGCTATGGGCATGCATGAAGACTGAGCATCTGTACACTCAAATTCAGAAAGCAACTTTCACCTTGAGGGTTATAAGCCATGCTGAGCGAGGCCCTTCCTCGCTTAAAACCCTTATCCACTACCAACGAAGAAGATTGTGACTGACAGTGTAGAAGTCCTGTCCCTGTCTGCCTCATCTCCTTGCCCATTATCTCTCCCCAAATCCTGCACTCTGAAATATTACCTTGTTCTTTATTAATCTTTTCATTATCAGTATTCAGGAGCTCTGGAAAACAAATCACTTTTGTCCTGAATAGACTGTGAAATAAAGGTCATTATGCTTGACCCTTTTTTAAGTCATTGAGGAGGGATGGGGATTGTGTGGAATTTTTTAGCTTAGTTAGGTACTAAAGTCACATTTAACCCACTTCCTCCAATTTGCTTGTGTTCCAAAAAAGAAACAAACAAAAATACCAAAAAGGTATTTTTATCCAAAGGTAAAAGACACAAGACACAAAACATATTTTGCACATAACTTGTTTTTTAGCCTGCTTTGCTCATAATCAGCTGTGCCTTAGAAAACTCTATTTCTCCTTATTTCCAATAATTGCTTGAGAACATCAGACTGCTGTGGCATGGATAAAGGTCTTTAACAGCCACTAGCCTATCTGTTTCTCCTCTTGCATCTATGCTGTAGACATTGCAAGAATCCCCAAAATAACCTTGACTTTCTTGGGGCTTAAAACACTGTCACAAAAGTTTTGCATCTTTGAAGTATTTATGTGCATAACTGTAACGCTTCTTTGTTTCACAGCTCTGATGCAGAAACAGAGAAGCATATATTTATTGTATCAAAAGAAGCAACTCCAAGATCCTGCTCTAGTATCCCATTATGTGGCAAAGCAGTGGATACCTATTGCCTGCCTAATCCTCTACCAAAGAGAAAGCGAGACAAAATAGTCAATGGGGAAATGGCCTGCAGGGCCATGGGTGTAACATAAGCCCCTCATGGAAGTTTTAAAATACTTAACTGTGGAGAGTAAACATGAAAAATCTGTATTTCTGAATGAGAACTCTGTACCTGATGCCCCAACACTCATTAGAAATGCGTGTTAATAGAAATGTAAGGGTATTTTAACCCGACAGTGGTTATCCTTTCACCTGGTTTGGCTTCTGTCTCTGCAGTAATATCCTTACCCTCTCCTAAATAAGGATTTTGGATCAGACTGTGCACCATTCTGGGCAGAAGTTCACCATCTTTCCTTCCCCTTTCACTAGTGGTGTCTCTCCTTGCCCCTCAGACCTATTCCAGCACTCTTCTAGGTAATTTAGTTTCTATTCTGTGCCTGCCAAAGGCATCTCAACTTCGTGCATCACAGCTGTAGCTGTCTCACCCTCCATAGGATCAATAACTTATTACATTACCTGTTTTCCAGCAGCTGCCCTACCTATATAAACCACCTGCTCATTTTACTCTGAAAACCTTGCTTCTCCAGCTCTTGGTAGCTGTTGTCCTCTGCCTGTGGCTGACCTAAGATGCTCAGTTCCTAACATTTCCTACCTTTGGCAGCTGAGCTGCTCTTCCTCTCAGCATCTCTTCTCCTTTCCGGGGAATAAAAAGGGACTTTTGCCATTTATTGGTCCAGGATTTCCAGGTAGTCAACACCTCAGCCAGACCAACAGCCATAAAAAAGTCCCACTCCGCGAGTCAACCGTGTTCTGAATGCATGGCGTTTCAGTGTTTTCAACTGCCAGCTGTGCATTGCTTTCACAGTACATTGTGAAAGTGCCACAGTTATGTCTGGGATTCACCGTGGACGGCCACAAAGTCATACCGAGCCCAATACTCGGCTCTGTCTGAGGTCACTATCAGGTACCTGAGGGAGGTATAAGAGGAGGACAAGCTTGTAGAGTTATGGTTCCTGCCATCCTGTTTCCAGCAATCTGCAGTTCCTGATTAACATTCAGGAAACATTCTTTCATTCTTTGAATGTTTGTTAATGTTAATGTTAATGTTGTTAATGTTAATGTCAATGTCAATGTTAATGTTAACAAACATACTTTTACTTTGGTTAATCACATTTGAAACCTGGTAACCTATGAATCTCTGTGGAATCCTGTGAAATGTGGCAATTATCATGGAATATCAATGTCAGCAAATAATTAACTCAGTTACTGCTAAGCACAGCAAGTCGTGCTTTTTCCTCCACTCTCTCAGTTGTGAATGCAGCCCATTTGTGAGTTACCTGAGGCTATGGCTGCCACGTTTTGTCTTTGTGGATATGTACAATAGCTTGGGATGTACTATGCTAAATAGATAAAATGTTTTGAAGCAAGTGGTTTGGAAAAAAAAAACCCTGACAACACAGTTATATAAATGAGGTCATGGGGAAATAGAATAAAATAAAATACCCACACTCACACCCCAAAATCCTGAAAATGTAGAATTTGCTTAGATTGGCCACTTCCATGCTAAACTATCAACACAATAAAAATGTTTCAAACATCATGTAATAAAGAAATAAGGGTAAAGAGGTGCATACATTATTTAAAAGGTCAGTGATACTGGCTTCAGAAGTTTAAAAAGTATAAGCCCAAGACAAGCTGAAAAAAGATCCACCCAATAACAATTTTTCAGAAGAATATGAAAAGTAGAGGTGATTGGAAAAGATTCAAATTTCAGAAATCCCACCTGTCTGGCTTTTTCTTTACGCCTGCAATACCTACATTGTGGTAGGTTAAACTTTGTACTAAAACAGTTGCGTTGCATTGCATACCTCTCAGCTTCAGGGCTTAAGAATGCTCCCACAGTATTCATTTTTGCTCTGCTTAAATGAATGGTTTTCTTCCTTGGAAAACAAAGCATAGAACTACATGATACACAGTGAAAATTTACAAATGCCATAGGTTAAAAATTTGTGAGGATCTGATACTGAGTACTTCAGTAAAGCTGAACACTGGCTACAATTGCTCACGTAATGGGTTTTTATCCTTAATGTATTTTCTTGTCCAGTACCAATCTAAACTCATATAAATGCCTGGTTTCTGCAGCATCTTGCGTGAAGGCCCAAAAGTCCTTGTATTGGTGTTAGACCTGCCACCTTCTACCTTAACTTGATACTCTTTAGTTTTTGTGTTGGAAGAGACGACGACTATTGATACCTACACTCTCTCTGCATTCCAGCCATGATTTCATAGACCACTTTTATTATATTCTGCTAGTTCTTCAGAAAAACTCCTAGCTTACTTGTCATTCTTTGCATGGAAGCTATTCCATAGCTTTGAACATCCTTTTTCTTCTTCTCTAGGCTGTTTCCTATTCTACCACGTAATTTTTTTCATTAGGAGGACTATATGTACACACAGTATTTAGTATTTTAAGACCAGGAATAAATCACAGACATACACACTAGCATAATCATGTGGGGGGTTTTGGTTTCTTTTCCTCTCATAATTATTCCTTTTTTTTAATTTTTTTTTTTTTTTAAACACAGTAGAGACCATACTTCCCTTCCTCCCTCGCATGCAGGTTTTTTGTGATTGAAAGCTCTGTGGTAGCTGCTTGGTGGTCTTATATTACTGTACTGTGAGCATGTCCCACATGACATACCAACAAATGTGATATAAAAATGTCAGCCAAAATGTACTGAAGATTTATATAATGTGAAATAACTTCTCTAGAATCTAGATTCTAGGATACAAAATTTGGCCAAAAATGTTTTTGATATATACTGGCACACTTATACATACACACGCACACACATATAAACACACAGAGACACGACTGCAGAGCTCATGCTACTCCCATTCTGTACCAAAACGTCCATTACTGTCAGTTTGATTCTTCACATATCTAACCTCTGGCAAAAATAAGATTTAAAAGTGTACGCATCTGTTTATCTGCCTTGACTGATAAATGTTGGGGGTAAAATATCACCAGGTATAATTCCACTGACTCTAATGGTTCTGTGCTGTGCACACAATTTGACCTCATATACATTACAAATATTTAAGTGCATTATTTTTGCAAGGTTATGAACATTTTGAATATTCTGAAAAACTCAGAGAGAAATAAAGGCAAATAGCAAGACAGGCAAGAGAGCGAGGGAACATCCAATTAAGAATGTCAAAAGGATTTAAATGCCCTGCTTTCAACTGCTAGAACTACTTATGTATTTGGAAACCCTGGCTGAAAACTTGTCTACCCTCCTTTAAAACCCGTCATTAAATGTCACTGCTCTCTTTGACTTCACTCAGAATACACCGTGTTTTCATTTCTGCTTAATGGAAATATATTTAAAGCTACTTTTAAAACACGTTTTCCAGAAAGTATCTTAACATAAGAAGCATAAATTGGCAATTAAAAACGACTCTATCTTTTCTTTCCCTCAGATAATTTTAGTTATTTTCCAGCTTTTTAAAGTTTACAGTTTGAAATGATGACCCTCTTTTTAAAACACAGCTGACACTGTCCCATGTTGAATAATGTGACCCAGAATCATTTTAAACTGAATCGTAAAAGACACTGTTTGATTGACTGTTATATGGACTCAGTATGTTCTGATGTGTACGATGTGTTGAAATATTTCTTTAAATTCTTTGGATTTACAAAACAAGACAAAATGAAACGGTCATATCAGCCCGACAATCTATGGCTTATACAGGGAATACAATAGTGTGTATGCTAGTAATTCATTCAGATACTATGAGATTTTTGTGATTTGGTATTTCTTGC